AAAATTTTCATTTTTTCAAAAAATCGACAAAATTTCACATGCGTGTTTTTTGAGCTCAATCGATTCCTTTCGTGTTTGCCCTTAAACCTCGAAACGCTGTTAAAAATGCTCGTCTATAACTCTTACTTACAGAGTGATCTAAAAATCCACTTTTTCCCATCCCCATAAGCAAATAATTAATTAATAAGAGCAAATGATGATTATTTGTTGTAGAGTTTACCCGGAAGTAGAGAACACAGTCCAATGCCATTCGACTATGAAGAACCCTATTTTGAAAAAATGCCCAGATCCAGGAAGCCGCAAACGAATCCGAGATTATCAAGCAGCATAATGGACTTGAGGAGAACGGATTTGTATCACAAAAAACCTAGTCAGCAAGAACTGGATTATTACAGGGTGAAGCTTCTAGTTGCTATATTAAATTTTCTAGTTTAGAGTCGACTATTTGTAGGAAAATGTTAGTCCAAATTTAACGATAAAAACTCGTTTATGACCTCAAAGAAAAACTTTGAATGGTGGATTGGCTGAGTTTAGAGATATGCGTGCCGATAGTAGATAGTAGATAGTAGAGAGTAGATAATCATGAGCATGCAGTCTAGTTTCCCTAGTAAAAATGTAGTGCACAGTTTTGCATTTTGTTCCATTCCATTCAGCGCATGTTGCTCCCAATTATTTTGAGAAACTAAATGACTCAGTGCGACAGTTTAACTATTTATGCATGCRAATGTGTCCCAAATACGGCTTAATCAAACCCACAGTTAGTGATGGTTGCGAAAAGCGGAAACTTTGCCTCCCGAAKTTCCTCCAGTTATTTTGATTAAGGGTTAAAACAGGACAAAATCTGAGAAAMTCCCGTCCAGAAGCCCGCAAAATCGATACAAATAGWGTAAGTTTCCATTTTATTTCAGATGGAACAAATGGAGCCTCTAAGTCACCGTCACCGCAGTGTTTCGTTACATCCAGAATTTTTCGATCCCARCTTTGATCGGCAAACATCTTTTAAGGCCCAAGGCATRGAATTGGTCAGGTTGCTAAGAGTGAGTTTATTTYAGTTTTTCRTTTGAAATTCCGTGYTATCGGCTGCGCTAAAMARGSCCGAYTTKATTTGGTCATAACTTTGTATCAAAGACTTTTGCATCATGGATTCACTGAAAATCTGAATAAATAACAAAACGGTACATTTTAACAGGGGTTTTTGTGTGATATTTTGGGATTAAATGTAATCATTTTATTATCACCACTTCACATCCTTTTTTGTTCAACGACTAATAGAAAATCTCAATTTTCCTCCTAATCATTTTCCTCGCAATTATCTTATTAAAGTGATTTAAAAGTTTTACGCAACAAAATCCAAAGCAAGAACAATAACAATCTACAAACAACCATAAATTCTCACTTATAAATTCCAGGAAGCTGAACATTACAATTACAACGTCGATGAAGTACAAGCGGCTTTACTGCATTGCAAAGTAAGTCTTTTTTAAATTTTTGTGTTCGGACAAGTTTAAAATCCTCCGGATTGCAGGATATGAACCCGATCCAATGGCTCAAAGAGCATTGGGACGCAATGATAGCCAGTGTTCAGACGCTTGCAACTCAAATGGGTCGAGAAGGGCCGATGAATATAGTTGGGACCGTATCAGAAAAAGAGGCCAGAGTCGCTATGCAAAAGCACAAAGGCGAACTTTGGCCTGCTGTTCAAGAGTGCGTCGAACAGCGACAGCAGAAAGTAAGTAGCCAGAAAGGCTGTGCCTATAAGCAAAATAATCCGACTATTTTTTCAAAAGTATGCGGAACTGGCAAGCAAAGGCGACTTTTCCAGAGAAGATATAGTGACGGTTTTAACAGCCAATCACGGTGACTTAGAGGCCGCTTATAATGAACTAAGCAAAATGCAAATTAAGCCTTTTTTAATGCGCATTTGGGGCCCACCGACAGGGATTGAAAATGAGGCGGGCAATGAAGGGGCTACGTTACGAAAATTCCGGGGGGAAGGTACGTATGTACAAAATTAAAAAAAAATAAAACTTTTTATTTTATTTTTATTTATTAAAAAAAACATCTTGAGGTTCGTTTTAATAAACCGCCAAACAACTAACTTCTGTTTATGTAAAGTTATGTAGACAAATTTATTACCTACACAAGTAAATTTTTCCATTTTTTATTCTCAACAGCAATCACTTTTTACCAAACTCATGATGTTACGTTTATTTCATGCTATTAAGCTGTACGTTTATTTTTCAATTACTGAAACTG